TGTTGTGCTGGATACAAGGTCAGGGGAGGCATTCACACGAGGTTCGGCTGGGGAGTACAACGAGGCCGGTGGAGTTCGCCCCGGCTGTTTTCGTTTAATTGGTATGTTCGGTAAGCCTGGCGGATCATTGGCAGACTGGAGGGCAGTTATTTGCGATTCACCGGAAACCTTTCTAGTTGTAGTGGCTCTGTTCATTACCGTGCTGATTGCTTCGAACATCATCGCGGTGAAGCCATAACCATTTGCCTATTGCGTGGTTCGGGGAAACCCTGAGATGGTTTGCTGTGGATTCAATTCATTCTTCCCCATCAGTTACATCGTGGGCGACGTGCTGACCGAGGTCTATGGTTTTCGAATAGCACGCGGGGTGATCTGGCTGGGGTTTGGCGCGAATCTGCTGGTGGTCGTCGCCCTGTGGCTGACCGGTATAATTCCGGGTGCTTTCTTCTGGGGTGAGTCGGACCAGGGTTCCTACAGCCGCATAGTGGGGCAGGTGCCAGGTATTCTGGTCGCCTCTTTTATCGCCTACCTGATCGGCGAGTTTTCCAACTCCACGGTGCTGGCGCTGTTGAAGTACAAGATGCAGGGCAGGCTGCTGTTCGTGCGGACGATAGGTTCGACTGTGGTGGGGCAGGGGCTTGATTCCTTCATCTTCATTTTCATTGCCTTCGGAGTGTTCAGCGACTGGAGCGCTACCGCGCTGCTGGGGGCAGCCTTGGCCCAGTGGATCATCAAGATACTCTACGAGGCGGCGGCAACGCCGTTGACCTACCTGGTCGTTGGGTTCATGAAGCGCAAGGAGGAGATGGACGTTACCGACGTTCCGCGTTCGCTGAATCCGCTGGGTATTTTTTCATAGGTGTGTAGCGAAGAATCCCCTGGAAACCAAGACAGTCTTCTATAACCAGGCGCGATTGTTCCAGAAGTGGGTGGTCGCGCCTGTTGTCTTTGCCTTCACCCCCAATCCCTGCCCCTTAATGGACGTGTCAATCCCTCTTCCATTCCCTTCATGGAGCAAAGCGCGCCGAACCCGCTGACAACCACCACTGGACAGTCCGCGTTACCCCCTCCTACCATGGTCTTTGTAATTCAGCCGTCCCCACATCTATATCGGCTACCTGCTGGCAGATACCAATGGGTGCAAATGAGAGGAAATGGCGGGAAATAATTTTTCTAACCCCAACCCTGGCGTCAGACAATCCCGCCCCGCAAAGCTCTGCCCCTTGGACTGAGATCGCCCTGGTGGTCGTACTTAGAGAAGGTCAAAACTCCTGGGCAAGAATCAAGATGGTGTAGAGGAATATGATGTTGGCTTTGAAAGCAGTAGGACTCTTCTTATGGAGGTGTCTGACACGTTCAATTAGAGAAAGGAGTGTCGTTACAGTTGACACCCATATTCAGCAACCTCTAACAGAGAGGCGTATCACTATGAGTATCTGGAATCGCAGTGACAAACCCGTTGTCGTCGATTCTTGGACTGTTCACATACCGATACATTACTTATTCCCTGACATCGAAAGTCTTGATATTACTGATGATATCAAGACAAGACGGTACCGCAGATTTCTACTAGGTCCACGATTGATTACGAATCGGTGGGTCTGCCGTTTTTCGGAACGAGCCCGCATCGCTAGAGGTAACCACTTGGCCGAGGTATGGGCCCAAGCTGCTTTAGGTAGGCTGGACGCTAAACATCAGCTATTGGACGTGGGCGCTACGGTAATGGTCGGCCACAAAGAACGCGTGGTGCAAAGTTTCCCGAAACCTGATGGTATACAAGGACTGCCTGTAGTAGGTAACGATGCTAAGGTGCTTGTGATCATTCCGTCTTGCCGAATAGTAGGACAGCAAAGACGTTTTTGGGGGATGCAATCTGGCATTATAAATACATATATGTCTTTTGGTTTCCATAATTCCAACCGACATTCCTGATGTCCTCGAGAGGGCACCAACCGAGTATTAGGTGTGAACAGGGAGATTCTAGTTTTGACCTTGCCTACGTATTTTATGTAATTGACAAGGCCATTTGGGTGTAGTATATGTTGCGGGACTTGTCGAGAACTTGTATCGGCAAGGCTGCCAGCCACCGCGAGTGTCACGAACCTGGGGAGTTTTCCAAAGGTTTAGCGCTTTTAATTAGCTCAGTGTAAAAACTTATCGTAATTCTTTTCGGGTAACAGCGGGTGGTAACTCAAAATTTGGGAGGACTCATAGTGAAACTTCTGGAACGAATTTCCACCAGGGCCCTGGTTTACCCGTCAATAGTGTTGCTGCTGTTAATCGGCGTGGCCTGCGGCACCTCTTCCGAGGAACCGGCCCCCGCCCCGGCATCACAGCCGGCGTCGGAACCGGCGGCACAGCAACAAGCACAGCCACAGCAGGAACAGGCTCCGGTCGATTCTCAGCCGTCCCAACCCGCACAGTCGGGCTCCCAGGCGTCGGCGGCCAGCGGGGGCGGAACAAGCGGCAGCGCACCCGAAGCGCAACCGGTACTTTCACCAACTCCGACCGTCGCCCCGGAGCAGGCCAAGGTGCTCACGGAGGTATCCACGGTTGACGATGCCCCTTATGGCATATTGCGAATGGCCAACAAGGACCTGGGGCCTCCCCAGTTCCTGCCCAAGAACATGGCCGTTCCCCAGGCTACCTACGTGAGCCCGGTCATTTTCGACGCCCTATGGCGGATGAGTCCAGAAAGGGAGCTTCAAAATGACCTGCTCGAGGACTGGAGCCTGTCCGAAGACGGCACTTCCTGGCGACTCCAGCTTAAAGAGGGTATCCCCTATCACAACGATTGGGGTACCGCCAACGTCAACGACCTGATGTGGGTGGTGAACCAGATAATGCTGGACGAGGGTCGGCACCCCGGCAAGACCAATATGCGCCGGATCTTCCAGCGTGACGAAACTGAAACCACTGTCAATATTATCGACGACTTGACCGTGGAGATAAACACCGGCACCCACCAGGCTTTCGACTTTATCTGGCGGTTTCAGCAATTCGGGGCCAACAACTTTATTCCCATGGCCAGCAAGGCTTACGCAGATGCGGTAGGAGATGAGCAGGCCACGCTGGAAGGCATCGGCACGGGCCCTTGGCAGTTCGTTGAGTTCCGAACCAACGAACGTTTCATTTCCGAAGCGGTGCCGGACCACTGGCACAAGACGCCATACTTCCAGGAGTTGCACTACCTGCAGATTGCGGAGGAGTCCACCCGCATCGCCAACTTCCTGGCCGGCGAACTGGACACCATGCAGAGTTCTTTGGGGTCCATACCCCAACTGGTTGATTCGGAAGGGGTGAAGTTTATGCGCTTCACAGGTGCGCTGGAACTGCACATTACCCTGCACGGCCAGCTGTACATCGACCGGGAAGGTATTCCGGAGCGAGATGTCGAACTGCCCTGGATCTCCACGACGGCCGATACCGAGTCCACCGAGTGGGAGCGGGCGCGGGACGTGCGCGAGGCCCTGAGGATATCTATTGACCGTAATTCCATAGTAGACAACGTGCTGGAGGGAGAGGGCCACGCAGACAACCCCTACTGGCGGTGGACCGGCTACGAACACTTTTTTGATGACGAAATGCGGAACACAACGCCGGAGTTTGATCCAGAGCGGGCCAGGCAGTTGCTGGCCGACGCCGGATACGCTGACGGCTTTAACATCGACATGGCTTTGACTCAGCGCTCCTACCCAGGCACTCCCAAGGTGGGTGAGGCCGTGTGCGTGATGTGGGAGGAGATCAACGTGCGCTGCAACCAGCACCGCATGCCGATGACCGCCTTCCGCCCCCACTTCGTGAACCGGACCTGGAAGGGCTACAACACCCATGACAACAGCCCGTCGGACGAGCCCCTCAATGGCTATAACCAAGGTATATCCAGCAAGGGGCTAATCATGCGGGGCATGGAGCATCCCTACCTGGATGCCCAGGTAGAAGCGATGTTCAACGAACCCGACTTCGACAATCGGATAGAAATCCAACGGGAAACGGCCAAATGGATTCTGGAGAACGCGGTCCACTTCCCGATAGCCGCGATCAATGTGGTGTGGCCGGTAGGCGCGGAGATAGACTTGTGGAACTTCGGCTGCTGCGCCCGGGATATTGCCTCCAACCTGGAGTTCGCACCCCACCGTGACCAGTTGGGCGGCGAAATTTTCCCGAAGTAGGTCTAATTTGGCATAAACCGAGGTCGTTCCTGGGCCTCCACCAAATCCCTGCTGCGAGAGTGCGAACAGGGAGATACGGTGGGGGCCCTTGGTCTATAATGGGGCTTGAAGGCTTTAGAGTATTGGCTCAATGGCCACTCTATCTTCCTTTGAAATCTTAAACTGGGACGTCTCTCAAGATGCCTCTAGTATTGGATGGTCTTCGCGACGCAATTTCGGGTTTGGCGCTAGTTCTGGAGCGGACGGACGCGGCTGACAGTTCCCATGAGCTGGACGAGGTGCTGTTAAGGGCTGCCAAATCAGGAGTGATAAAGCACTTCGAGTTCACTTACGAGCTCAGTTGGAGATTCATCAGGCGCTGGCTGGAGACCAACATCAGCCGGGATGCTGCCGACGGCGTTACCCGTCAGGAGTTATTCCGGCTAGGAGCAGAGCACCGTTTGATTAACCGAGTAGAAGACTGGATGATCTATCACCGAGCTCGAAATCTCACTTCGCACACTTACCGGCAGGCCACTGCGGAAGAAGTCTACGCGGTGATTCCTGCCTTTACGGAAAGCGCCAAGGGGCTGCTTGTAGCCCTGGAAGCCCGAAATGACTGACGCGACTGAAATTCACGTTAATCCTGAGGAGTTGGCCCGAATACGGCAAATTCTGTCCGACCACCTGCCAGACTGCGAGGTAAGGGCCTTTGGTTCGCGGGTGACCGGGCATACCAAGCCATGGTCGGACTTAGACCTGGCGGTGGTGGGGCCCACCTCTATTCACTGGAACGATTTGGGCAAGTTAACCGAAGCTTTCCAGGCCTCGGACCTGCCTTTTCGGGTCGAAGTGATGGACTGGCATTCCGCTTCGCCGGCATTTCAGGAAGTTATTTCTCAGAGATATGTGGTGGTACAGGCGGTTTCCCGTGAAACCGAGGCGCCCTCCACGTAACGGAATTCACTACAATCCATTCATCTCGATGCCATAGCTTTCCGCTCATATTCAGCCCGTCGAAGGACGCCACGTCAACTACTACCCGCTTCGACACACTTACTGCCAACGGGCGGGGATTGACGTTGCTCCACTCGGCTGCCGATTCTCCATAATCTGCAGCCTCACCCTCCCAGCAACCTCGTCAAGTCCCGAATGCTGTCCAGTTTCTCCATGCGCCCCGTAACGGCAATTGCCTGCTCGGTTCTGTCTTCGTCCAGGCTCTCCGCGGCCAGGGTGCGGAACTTGTTCAGCAAGTCTGCCCTGGGGCGGGGGTTGTGGCTGTCGCCGTAGTGGGCGGCGGCGCTGCCCTCGAGGGTGCGGCCGTCCGCCAGGGTTATGGCCACCCGCGCGGCGGGGTAGTCGTAGCGTCGCATATTCATGTCGGGGTCTGATATTACCTGTACTCGTTCCGCCAGCGAACGGATGGCCGGATTCTTTACTCGTTCAGGGAAGAAAGCGGGTGCGCCGGTCTCTCCGCCGATCAGGCTGGCGGCCAGGGCGTAGGGGATGGAGAACTTGGCGGAGAGCATATTCTCCGGATCGGGTTTGGCCATGATCTGAACGATGGGCGGGGCTGTAACCTCGATGCGGCTGACGGTTTCGGCAGCAAAGCCATCCGCTTGCTGCAGCGCCAGGGCCGCGTCCAGTATAGGATGGTTGTAAAGGCAGCAGGCGTGGTACTTGGTGTAGTTTCGCTCGATGCGCAATGGGCCAGTGGGGCCATTTTCACCCCAACCTGCTACCACGGCATCAGGGTCGAAACCCTCACCGAGGATGGTGGTGTAAAGATCGGTGGGGCCGTCGTTGACTGCCGTAAAACCGCACTGGCCCAGGTAGGCGGCCATGATGCCCTGGAACTCGGAGCGGCCGGGGTAGAGATTACGGATAGTTGCGCCTTCCAGACAAGGTGTCCAGGTATTTGCCGGGCTCATGGACATGGCGAGATTCATGGCCTGGCGGGTGGCGGCGGCATCGTAGCCCAACAGCTTTGCGGTGGCAGCGGCGGCACCAATGGTGCCCCAGGTGCCGTGGGAGTGGACATCAGCCCTGGACTGCACGCCCGTGCCGATGCGCGAAGTTACCTCGTAGCCCACTATTACCGCTTCCAGGGCAGCCTTGCCGCTGGCGTCCAGTTCCTCGGCCACGGCGATGGCTCCGGGGGTTACATGGATTGAGGGATGGCCTCCACCGAGGCGGCTGCCCTCGTCCAGTTCCAGGGCCACACCGGCGGTGGCGTTGACCAGGGCGGCAAACACGGGTTGGACTTTCCCGACGGAGTGGCCAAGAATGGTGGCGTGACCCGCACCGCTGAGGGTTTGGACCAGTTGAGCGAAGCTGGCGTTCTCGGGCAGGCGGCTGCCGGCCAACATCGCGCCGATGGTATCCAGGACTACATCGCGGGCAGCGGTTATGGCAGATTCTGTCAGGTCTTCGAGGCGAGTGCTGGCGACGAAACTGGCGAGTTTATCAAGGTAATCCGGGGTGTTGGTGGTCATGGCAGACCTCGCGTTAGAAGGTTGCTTGAGCGATCGGATGAGAAGTGGAGTCGGTGACAGTGTTTGTAACGACAGCTGGGGAGGATAGCGTGAAGGGAGGTGCCAGGAGGCTGCACTCCGCACGCTGCCTGAGGAAGAGGAAGGAAGCGTGTCGGCCGTTGTTGGGGTGAACGGCTAGGTGGACGTTGCGGTAGCACAGAACGTGAAGCAGCGCCTGGGAGGTAGCGGCCAGGCTTTGGGCCCGCCGACGGGCCCAAAGCGGTGGTGACCACCCAAACACACATCCGTCCACATTCCTAGGTTTTGAGCGGGTTGCGTGCTGAGTGTTGATAAGTGCGGGGCTCTGACTGGTATTAAGGAGAAACCAGGGTGACGCCCATCCACCAGTGGCGGCCCTTGCCGCGGCGCTGCCGCTGGAAGCCGTGGGCCGTCAATTGCATGCCGAAACTGCGCTGGGCCAGAGGTTCTTCTTCTCTGCCCCGGGTCGCGGCAGCAGTCATGTAGGCACGGGTAAAGACCCTTGGCAATTATCTTGGCATCACATCGCTAGCTACCAGCACCGTCGGCAGGAATCCCGGGCACCTCGGCCAGAGTTGATATCCTGATCCTCCTGCCTCCATCTTGCATGGGCAACCCGTCGCATGGGCACCCGCATGGGCCGTTACTACGTTTCCCACACTCTACTTTCTGCGCAATTAGTGGGGTCCTTCCGGGCTCCTGGAGGGATACAGAGAGAGCTTCGGCCACGCGACGCTCCACCACAGTTTACTCCTTTTCCCGGAGCAGAGCTCAGGAGGGACAGTACCTTTGAAGCGACAGGTCCTCCCAGTAGAACTTCCTTTGCTGTCCAGGGAAGAAGCAAAAGAGCGTCCAGAGGCTGAAGGGAACGTCGCGCACAGCCGAACGTGAACGGTGTCAGTCGCAAATCCAGACGGCGAGCGGAGGTTCTGGGCGACCGTCTGTCAAAACGTAGAGAAGCTGCAACGAGCCCCGCGCAGGTGTCGGGTGGCTCCGGATAGCGGCGACCCCCGGTCGGTAGTCTCAATAGGGAACGATAGGCTGGAGGTGGCGGACAAGGCGAGGCGTGCGTGGCATATCTGGGGTGTTTGCTAACGCCAGCGGACCAGGTCGCGGTATCGGACAATTGCCAGGGGATTATCTACTCGAGTGAGCTTCACTGTGGAGGGCTTTCAGTGCGTGGATTGGTCGTGGCAGGTGGCAGCGGTAGCAGCCGCGTGAGCGCGGCCCATAAGAGCGGAATGGAGCAACGCCTGGTTTCCCGACCATCTGAATGTTAATCGATGCTGGCCCCACTCCGTCACCCTCCTGTTGTCTGCACGGGCCTTGGTCTCGCACGGGTATCTGGCATCCCCTTCATGGTAGCGTTTCATATCAGGTTAGTATATTGCCACACAGTAGTCCGATGGGCAGACCCGATAGTCTGCCCCTACGAAATCCTATATTCTCTCCTGTCAAAAAAATTCCCCCGGTGGCAGGCTGTGCAGGCACCGGGGAGCGATTGGGCAAGTGGGCTCACAGCTGTATTGATTTATGTCCATTACCAGAAAACCTTGATTACGTCTGTCCTGGCGCTGCTCGTACATGTCGGAGGCCGGCTGCACATCAGAGAAAGGCACGGTGGTAATGAGGTTGGCGGGCTCGCACAGCCGCGCGCTCAGCGCAGGTACACGATGTCCGTGATCTCGGCTGATGGGGTCGGCGCTGCGGGCTGCGGCGGGGTGGTGGGAAATGGTGGCCTGCTTTTCCATGAGCAGATTGTGCTCCACAGGGACACAACGTCGCTCTGAATGCCGAAAGGACGACGTGCCGACTGTCGAACCTGCGCGGAAGGCCTCGTTGAAAGTAAGCCCGGATCACGGCCGCCTCGACGACGATATCTCGAGCGCCGGGTGGCCCTGCCCCGGGTGATTTCCTGGACGGCCTCGGTGAGGTTGTCCCGGTCGGGATTGACAGTATGAGTAGCGCCCATCTGGACCGACTTATCGAGGCGGTAGTCAAGGGGATCACAGTTAATGACGTTGCGGGCGCCCATGCGGGAAGTAAGCATGGTGAAGCTCAGGCCGATGCTGCCTTGGCCGCAATACCACATGTACGTTCTTCTGAAGCAGGGTGTCCATGCGCTTGCAGGAGTAGGACGGTACCCGGAGGCTGGCACATGACCCACTCGTCCAGGGGGCCCTCATCGGGCAGGAGAATCATGCGGCCGGGACGGGAGACCAGGTATTCCATGAGGCCGCCGGTGCCGCGGTCGGGTATTACGATTACCCGCTGGCCTTCGTGGTAGGCGTCGGTACGGCTTTCTACGATGGTCCCGGCCAGTTCATGGCAGGGGCGACCCGCCGGCATGGGATAGTGCTCCTCCGGCTCGATAGGGCCGTATCCGTGGCGGATGTCGCTACCGCAAACGGAGACCTTTTCCAGCTTAATCAGGCATTCGCCATCGCCGGCCTGGGGCATATCAAGGTCCACGAAGTCAAACTGCTTCGGGGCTACTATCCTGGCTGCTCTCATGCTTCATCGCTCCGCTAAAGTCTGGTTGGCAAGTCATATTCAGGGCACAAGCCCGTCCGCAAAGGTGGCGAACTTGGCAAAACACCATTGATATCAGGTCAGTAGTGGGAATTACCCCTATCTTATAGGCATAACCCGGTGCAAGGCAAGCCATAATTAATGATACTTTACATAAGGGGTGAAGATTTTGTGACGATTTGATCACGCGTGAACCTCATTGCCAGCAATATAACGTGCAGTTAATATCGGAACCGTCAGGCAACTTAACGTTATTAGTCGCAGATAATCTCTTTCCTGGTTGACACATTTTCGGCATGCCCTGTAGGCTAGCCGGGAATTCAGGCTTCAGTATGCGAGGCCCGCTTCCGGAGGAACCCATGACCACTACCGCCCAGGACTTCATCCTGGTGGATCGACAGCCGCCGATCGCCACCATTACCATCAACCGGCCCCGCCAGCGGAACGCCATCAACTACGATATGTGGAGCAAGCTGGCGGATCTGGTTGAAGATTTGGACCGGGCCCGGGAGGTGCGGGTAGTAATATTCACCGGCGCCGGCGAGACGGCCTTTTCGGCCGGCGCGGATATTGCGGACTTTGACCGGTACCGCGCCGATTCAGCCAAGGGCAAGGTCTATAACGACGCTGTGGACCGCCTGCTGGACACACTGGCGACGATGGATACTCCTACCATTTCAATGATCAGGGGATTCGCTGCCGGCGGGGGCTGCGAACTGGCGGTTGCCACGGACCTGCGTATTGCCGCCGAGGGCAGCCGGCTGGGAATTCCGGCAGCGCGCCTGGGCATCAGTATCGGACATCGGGAGATGCGGGGACTGGTCAGCCTGGTTGGCAAAGGCAATGCACTGTACATCCTGTTGTCGGGGAGGCTGCTGGAGACCGAAGAGGCCCTGCGCATTGGCCTGGTCAACCAGGTTACCGCGCCCGAGGATCTGGAAACGGTTACCTACCAGCTTGCCACGGAGATTGCAGGGCTGGCTCCCCTGTCCCATGCCGCCAACAAGCGGACGCTGAACCAGGTACAGGCCAAGCCGGCACTGGACAACTTGACGGTCGAAGAGGCCAACGTGCCTCTGGCGCAGTTTGATACCAGGGACTACCAGGAAGGATATCGGGCGTTTCTGGAGAAGCGGGCGCCCAATTTTATTGGAGAATGATGGATCTACCCTCACTCCGGCCCATCTGTCTCAGGGACAAGGGAGATTAGCGGTTGCCTGGACGTTTGAGTTCCAGCGGAAGTGAGGAGTGACTGGTGAAGATGAGTGCGAGGGGAAAGAAAAGGCGGGCTGATGTGCTGCTGGCGGAGCGGGGGCTGGCGGAGAGTCGGGAGCAGGCCCGGATTCTGATAATGGAAGGGCTGGTGTTTGCGCCGTCGGGACGGGTGGCGAAGGCAAGCTCGGCCCTGGCGGAGGATACCGCACTGGAGGTCCGGGGGCGATTGGCCTACGTGAGCCGGGGCGGGCTGAAGATGGCCCACGCCTTGAAGGTGTTCGGCAGGGAAGTGGAAGGGCAGACGGCCCTGGACGTGGGGGCGTCCACGGGCGGGTTTACGGACTGCCTACTGCAGGGGGGGGTGCGGCACGTATATGCGGTGGACGCGGGGCACGGTCAACTGCACCTGAGGCTCCGCCAGGACCCGCGGGTAACGGTAATGGAAAAGGTCAACGCGCGCCATCCGTTTGAATTGCCGGAGGCGGTGGACCTGGCCGTTATTGACGTATCCTTCATCTCGTTGACCCTGGTAATACCGCAGGCGGTGGCGCACTTGGGGGACGGCGGGTATATTGTCGCCCTGGTCAAGCCGCAATTCGAGGCCCGGAAGGGAGAAGTGGGCCGGGGCGGCATTGTGAAAGATCCAAAGGTACACGCTGCCACGCTGGGGAAGATGGTGCTGTGGGCGGCAAACGAGGGACTGCGGATCAGGGATATGTGCGGCTCACCAATCCGGGGAGACAAGGGGAACCGGGAGTTTTTCCTGTTGCTGCAAAAACCTTCGTCCTCAGCACAAGAAAACGGCAAAGACACGGGCCAGGTTCCCGCCTTCGCGGGAACGACGGGTAAAGAACTGCAAAAACCTTCGTCCTCAGCACAAGAAAACGGTAAAGAAACGGGCCAGGTTCCCGCCTTCGCGGGAACGACCGGTAAAGAGCCGCAAAAACCTTCGTCCTCAGCACAAGAAAACGGCAAAGAACCGGGCAAGAAAACAGGGGAATAGCAATGTTCAGGGACCGCTTAGCCAGCCTGTTGGTACTGATATTCTTCGTTGCCATCATGTGGGTGGTTCAGGTAGTAAACATCTTTATGGAATACAGCCTGAACGAGTACGGCGTAGTGCCCCGCACCATAGAGGGATTAAGAGGCGTACCCCTGAGTCCCTTCCTGCACGGAGGATTCGGGCACTTGATGTCCAACACCGTTCCCCTGCTGGTGCTGGGCGGACTGGTTGCGGTGCGGGGACAAGCCAACTTTGTGGGCGTTACGGCGTTTATCATTCTCGCTGGCGGCACCGGGCTTTGGGCGGCAGGACGGCCGTGGCCGTGGGACGACATTCAATTCCTGGTCCACGTGGGAGCCAGCGGGCTGGTGTTCGGGTATTTTGGATACCTGGTGGCCCGGGGCTGGTACGAACGGAGCTTCCTGTCCATCTTCGTGGCGCTGGTGGTGATACTGGTTTTTGGTACAGGCATCTTTCTGGGATTGCTGCCCACGGCGCCGCACATTTCGTGGGAAGGACACCTGTTCGGGCTTATCGCGGGGGTGCTGATTGCGGCGTTTACTCGAGACCAGTTTCGCCAGGCCCGACAGTCGGCCGTTTCCCCCCAGAGGCAGCGGAACGTATAATACAGCCGTTCCGACTAATCAACAGTCGGGTTAATCCTTGCCCTTGGCCCTCTCCCCTTGGGAGGTAAACAATCTACGGTGGTTTGAAGGTACGAGGTTCATAAATACGCAAAAACCAGCGCAAGAACCAGGATACAAATAAGGTCTGTCCTTCCGAATTGGGCACCGGTTCGGATACCCCAAGTATTGAAACTCAGGAGGGTTGTTATGGATGTCAGTGAAGTAGCGGAGATGTTGATGGCACAGGGGAAACGGGTATCGGTGGCCGAAGCGGATACGGCGGGCCTGATTGGATACCTGCTGGGCACTATCCCCGGCAGTTCCCAGTTCTTTCCGGGGGGCGTAATTGCCTACACCGGCGGGCTGAAACAAAGCATACTGGGCGTTTCCGATGAGCTCTACGTCACCAAGGGCAGCGTCTGCGAAGAAATGGCCATCGCCATGGCGCGGGGCGTGCTGGAACTTACCGGCACCGACTATGCCGTTTCGACCACCGGCGTAACCGGCCCGGGGCAAGGACGATCGTCCTTCCCCATCGGGACCTTCTACATTGGGCTGGCGGACGCGAACGGCAACGACGTGGCAATACATGCCCAGTTTGACAGCGACCGGGACGGGAACAAGCGGGCCGCGGCGCAGGCAGCCATTGACCTGCTAGGCGAACGGCTTCAGCAGTCGCAGGGTAATTAGATGGCTAGTGCGAGCCGAATAATACTGCTGGGACAGAACCTGTTCTTCCAGGGCCGGGTGGAAACCGTTGCCGAACCCCTGGGCTACTCGGTGCGCCAGGCCAATACGGAGGCGGACTTCTGGAGCAGCTACGCGGAAGGGGAAACGGAACTGGTGCTGGTGGATTTGGAAGGGGACGCGGAGACGTGGAGTTCGGTGCTGACCGGGTTGGGGCAGCGGGCTTCCAATGAAGGCAAGTCCGGCCCCAGGATAGTTGCCTTTGGCCCCCACGAGGACGTTGCCACGATGGAGCGGGCAGCGGCGCTGGGAGCGCAGCAGACGCTTAACAAGGGGCGGTTCAGCTCTACGCTGGGGGAGATTATTGGGGGTGGGGGTTAAGTTGGTGCCTCCTAACTTTATACGACCTATTATTTAGGGGATGTAAGGCCAAATGACGAATATACAAAGACCCAATCGCGAAGCTCTGATTCAAGCAACTGACATATATCGTGATTGCGGGCGACGATTCATCGTTCGTCACTTAAGGAAAGTTCCTGGCAAGGGTGTAGAAAATGCCATTAGAACCTCTTTGAATAGATATCAGCAGGATCAATTCGATGCAAACATAGCTTCTAATAGAAGTGTTGAAGAATCAATAGACATTGGACTGTTTCCAGTTCTGGTCAGCAGGAACTGGGAAGGGATCTTTGCCGAACAGTTTAGCCATGACCGAGACGTTCAAGACAAAATGAACATCATAAAGTCAGCACGAGATACGATAGTAGCCCACCCCCGCAGTCAGGATGTTGGACCTGAAGAGGCGAAGGCTTATCTTTTCTTTATTTCAGAGACATTAAGACGTATCAATGAACCCGGCGCCGCCGATGAGGTGAGTAACCTGTGTGCTGACATCCCGGACGCCAACATGTCGAGCCTTGCAACAGAAATGGGGCAAATGGCCATGGAAATTACTTCCATAAGAAGCGACAACGAGCGTGCTGACTCGGAAATAGACCGCCTCGCAGGTGGGTTTGCTGAGTACAAGCAGAAAATAGAGGATGAAATTGAGGTTCTCAAGTCCTCGCTAGGATTGATGCAAAATTTAAAGCAGAATCTTGCCAACGAGTTGGCCGAGGTTAATCAGATCCCTGAACGGATTAGAGAAGCGTTGGCAGAGTTCTTTACCTCACAAAATGGCTCCGAAGAAACCTCCTTCAGTGAGGAAGAATCCTTCGATGACGATTTTGAACTGGATGACTTGCAATTGTTGGAGGTAGAGCCTCTTGAAATCTCAGATGTAAGCCGTCGTCACTCCGTGAGGCCAAAAGGGCTCTTTGCTGGTGCGCTTTATTATTGCGTGGAACCCGATTGCAGGTTCTCCGACGGATCACCTA